GTATTGTAAATAACTTCGAAGTCAGGTAAGCAACCGTGAATGTTCAATGAATCCCACATTTCTTTGCAGGAAAGTTGTATTAACTTTTGTACACTAATTTCATACCTATCGAAGGGAATTATTTAGTGAGTTGCAAGCGGAATAGAGCTGAAAGTGGTTATCCATGTATTGCAATTAAAGAAACTAAAACCCGATAAAGTGAAACGTAGATTAAAAATTATTAAAAAACATTAAAAACAAAAATCGCAATACTATTTCGGTCGTTTGTTTTCCAACGAAACGGAATGTATAATTGCGATGATGCAGATCAAGTTTGTAAGTATGTAGCAAAAACTTCAACTCAACTCATCTTCTACTCTTTTATCTGCGCCTGTGGGTCAGCGCATTGTCATTGTTGTAACTGAACCTTCGCTTTGATCGTCACTGCTTCAAACAGTGAAGGCTACTATATGCAAGTCATTCGCGCTTAAATTGTTGGTTTTGTTTATTTTAAGTCTTGTTTGGAACTGAAGCTAAGTGCTGTTCTTTATAGTTGAGCTAAACGAAAAAATTTTTCGAATGAACGAATTTCGAATAATCCAATTTCAAAAATTATTCGAACGAACGAATATTATTCGAATTGTGATTTTTGAATTATTCGAACTCGAGTAATCGAATATTGATACTTTTCAAGAATTCGACTATTCGAATAATCGAATATTTGGACGTGACCGAATATTCGACTATTCGAATAATCGAATAATCAGGCATGACCGAATATTCGATTATTCGAATAATTCGAATGAATCTGGTCTTTGATGAACTCACTCCGATTGTCCTTCTGTGGCAGCATTTTGCAACAGATGTGTCTCGCTATTTCCATGGTGGATTGAGTAAAACCAAGTGTTGTGGATGCTAGAAACCTAATCAACGAGCGTTTTAACGGAGGCAGGATGATAGCTAGATTATCTTGTCAACTCAGTCATAAGCTTGATGCAAAAGTATGATGCCAGTAACTGTAGCATGCTATTTATTAGTCAGCAATAGCTATGTAGATACCATAGATCTTCAGTGCAAGAAAAAGCAAAGTTGAAGGCTTTCATATAGTAGAAACGGTAAAATAGCAATCTGATGAAGTGTAAAGCACCGCTAAAGTTACCTGAGAAAAGATACAATACGCAAAAATTACACCGACGCTTAGCTCTCAAAGGGTTCTTCTATGTCTTCCAAATCCTCATTGTCTTCAAATGCTGTTGTTGTGTCCTCGACGGGAGACTCAACGGATGAGAAATCTTCATCGTCATCTTCACTGTCGTCAACGTTCCTGTAGCGTCTCACTTCTGCAGCGCTCACGTTACTTCAGATAGATGTTGTTTATTACTATCAAGTCATCAAGATGTTGCCTTTAGAAATACACTTTGGGCAAAACTTTGCTGAAGAAGAATGCAAATAAAGAGAAGCTGTGAGTAAATCAACCTCCTGAAAAAGTGAGTCTCGTCTGATGGGACAAACAACACCATGCAAAGTATCATTCTGTATGTGACTGCAGGAGACTCGAAACTGCTTTGCACACATTGTCAAACAACCATGATCGTTACGTTTACAGGTTTTACCTCCAGTCTGACCGATTTGAATTATTTGCTAATTGGAGAGGAAAAATCACGTTCAAACCGTTTAGGCAATGTGTGCAAAGCGGGGTCTCTAAATCACAGAATGAATGATAAAAGTCTTTCTTTGTAGAGGACTACTGATTTGAGTAATACAGGATGCCTGCGCTTACGTGGTGCACCAATTCACTAAACAAGATCACCCTTCTGGCAAGGAAGCATAACGGAACTAGTGCACCATTCATATTGTTGTGTCCTTTGGATTCGGACATTTCTTCGTACTTTCGTCCGTTGGGCGGCACACGAGGAATAGAGAATATTTATTAGAAATAGAACAGCAAAATAAGAGAGGTAGATGAGTGAACAGACGAACTGACAATGGCTAACAGCGAGCGCCTTTTATAGCGCTCATTTCCCGCGCAATGAGGCTGCAGGCGCCTCAGCGAGGGCAGATCATACGAGGAAATAACTGATCAGACACTAACACAACACCTCCCTCAGTAGGGTAGTTACAACAGAACTAGCCTACGACAAAAACATGAACTATAAATATGAACAACAAGAAATCGGTCATATATAGGTAGCATATCATTTAAACAACTGCAAACTAATGAAACAAACATACAATGACATACTATGAACTAGATTGGAACCGTTGTACCGGTCTTCTCGTTCTGCTCGACCTGCGAAGCGTTGTCGGTGGCGTGGAGGGCTCGTGGCTTGATGTCGACGTCGATGTCGCTGAATCCACGGGTGCTGGCGCATCGCTCGCGATCGCTTGCTCGGGATTCTCATCAGCTACACTGCCATTCCTCCGCAGAGGGTCGTTTTCTGTCAAAACATCTAGGAGTATCTTCAAGGCTTCGGACTGTTGATGAAGTTGTTGTCGCACAGCGAGCTGTTCGCTATCGCTTCGATGCCGTAGCTGATTTGCATGCTTCTTGCACATCTCGTCGCCAACCATAACTTCATAATTGACACGTCCAATACGCCTCATCACGGTTCCTTTCATCCAATGGAAGTGGGGTGGCTTCCACTGTTTAGAGTAAACCAAGTCACCAACTTCGAATTCCTTCCGAACGACTCCATGCTTCTGGTCGAACTGATCCTTCATGCGCTTCCGTCTTTTTCGTGCGAGTGGGTCTTCTGCATCTTCTGTCATCGGGAGCAACAGACTCAATTTTGTGCGCAAGTTTCTGCCTAGAAACAACTCCGCCGGCGTCTTGTCGTTCAAGTTCGTGTTTGGTGTTGTCCTATACGCTTGTAACACCAAGTTTAGAGTCTCTTCTGTTGGCCTCTCCTCCCCCTCTAGTTTCTTGATCCCGCGTTTCAGCGTGTCAACGAAACGCTCTGCCTGTCCATTCGATTGAGGGTGGTACGGAGCAGTCCTTATATGTGTGATTCCAGCTTCGTCACACATCTTCTTAAACAAGTCCGACGTGAACTGAGTACCGTTGTCGCTCACTATTGTTTGCGGTAATCCATATCTCGCAAACAAATTTTTCAGAGCCTTCACCGTCTTCGCAGCCGAGATGTTGCTCATCTCGATCATTTCCGGCCATTTGCTGTACGCATCTACCACGACCAAGTAGAAAATACCTTGCATCGGTCCAGCGAAGTCGATGTGTATTCGCTGCCACACTCGAGTCGCTGACGGCCACGCTTCCAATGGTACTTTCGTCGGATTCTTGGCTAACTCCTGACATTTCGTACATCTTCGTACCAAGTCTTCGCAATCTTTGTCTATATTCGGCCAGTAGACGTAACTTCGAGCTAGTTTCTTCATCCTTACTATCCCTGGATGACCACTATGCAGTTCCTTCAGAACATTTCCTCGAAGCTCCTTGGGTATCACAACCCTTTCGGCCGATAACAGACATTGCTCCACGACTGACAATGTGTCTCTTCGATTTCGAAAATGTGCCAACTCTCCATTTACGTCTGGCCATTCTCCTTTCTTCACAAATGTCAGTACTCTTTTTAGTGCTGGATCCTTCTTCGTATAGGACTGCACATCTGACACCGTCACTGGCAATTTCCTTATGCAGTTCTTCAACACGAAGTTCACGTCGTTCTCAACGGCAGCTACCACGACGTCTTCTTCGGGGTTCTGAGTCTTCTTCATTAACGTTGACAAACCATCTGCTTGTCCAAACTTCGTAGTCCTGACATACTCTATGTCGAAGTCATATCCTAACAAGATTGTAGCCCATCTCATGAGTCTGTTAGCGGAGTAGACTAGATTCCTTTCTTATCCCCGAAGATGGCTAACAGTGGTTGATGGTCTGTCAACAATAGGAATTTTCGTCCAAATAGGTACTTGTGAAATTTCTTAACGGCGAAGACAATTCCCAAGGCTTCCTTTTCGATTTGCGAATAATTCTTCTCTGCCTTCGTAAGAGACCGCGATGCATGCGCAATTGGCTTTTCGGATTCATCAGCATATCTGTGCGATATCACGCATCCAATTCCATAGTCGCTGGCGTCTGCTGCCACTACGATCTTCTGCCTCGGATCATAGTGAGCAAGGTTCAGCTCACTTGACAAAGCTTCCTTGAGCTTTTCGAATGCTTCTTGATGTGTTCGTGTCCATTGCCACTTCGCATCTTTCTTCAGCATCGCATCTAATGGTCCACGAAGGTCCTTGATATTTGGCATGAACGCCGCATAGTACGCTATCATGCCAAGAAAAGCCCTCAGTTGACTAACATTCTTCGGCTCATCCATATTTCTGATTGCTTCGATCTTCGCTAGGTTCGGTTTTCTGCCATTTCGATCTACTATGAAGCCGAGATTGAATCGGTTTGTGCTCGCAAATGCCACGCGGTATTGTTACACTGACAACCAGGAAGAACACACCCAACACCACTTTGCGCAACGTTTACCTCAAACTTGGGTAATTAAACCCTCATACAAAATACTTGAATGCAACAATTACGAATAAATGTATGACAAAGATAAAGCATTGTGATATGGCAATTAGGCACAGAAAATACCAAAATATGACGCAAATGAATGATACAAGCGCACTTTACTGTTAAGCAACCAAAAAACAGGAAGTGTGTTTGCAAGAAAGTGCGTAGGCATTTTTCGGCGCAATTGACCACAAGAAAAACTGTTGAAAAATGTGTTGCGTAGAAATTGTCTCCAGAGTTCTTTTTGGCGCGCATTCCAAATGGACAGCAGATGAGAGGCATAACTTGAAAGCAATGTTGACCAGAAGAGGAGAAAAACGACTGATTGAACACGAGCGGCCGCTGCCGCTTGCATCTCAAGAACTGCCGCCCAAGCTGTTAACATAACAGAAACATTACAATAAAAAGTTCAAATTCTCAAAACACATCATGCGATGATACCGTATCCGATCGCGGCGATAACGATACCGTATCCGATCGCGGCGATACTCCCCCGGGGCTAGTGAGATGGGTCCTGGCGGTGCTCCTGAATTTCCATGTCGATTTGCTTGAGGCGCTGGAAGTTTCCTTGCTTCGATCGCTCTGCTTCTTCAATTTGATCGAAAATCTCCCGACTTCTGTCGGGTAGCTCGCATAGGGCGGAATGATGCCCTGTCTCGCGGCAATGGAAACACTTGGTGTAAAATTTTCGACAACGATTTCCCCCAGCGCAGTATTCGAGACAGGTTTCGCATCTGTTGCTCGCTTCGAGAAGTTCTCGTCTTTCCCTGCCCGTCGGTACCTCCGGGCAAGAGTCGGAATAATGATATCCGACAGCGCTACAGAATGCGCATGACATGTTCCTCTCCGTGTCCTTACGAATCTCGCCTTTGTGGTATCTACGCGGCCCGCAAGTTTTTTCCTTTTCCAGGGCGTCGATCAACAGGTTCAAGTCGTGTATCGCCTGCAGGGTTTGCTTCTTCTCCACTTGTAGCGCCGATAACAAATCCTCATTGCGCAAGCGGGCTTCTTGAGGTCTTTCTATCGCTTCCTCATTCTTTGGAGGTTCGTCGGCGTGCGCTTCATTTTCTCCCATTTTCGGTTCTTCCATTTGGACTTCCTCTACTTGCGGTTCTTCGAACGGCGCTGCCTCCTCCATCTCTATCATAAGTTCTTCGACATATTCCTGGTTGTTTCGAATGGTTTCGGCTTCACGCTGACCCATGTGCGCGTCGTCATCTCCTTTTTCCATCGATTCCACTCCGATGTCTTCTGGCTGAGTTTCCTCCTTGACAGGTGCAGCGTCTGCGCCCTCCCCCTCTTCGCTAAGGAGTTCGGCGTTTGACTGTACATCCAAGCTTAGATTCTTCAGCGCTGCTTCGATCGCGGTTGTCAAGTTGTTTATTGCTTTTCGTAGCTTGCGCGCCTCGTTCTGCGCAACTGTTTCTTCCTCTTCAATTTCGTCGCGCACTGCTTCGAGGATCTTTGAGAGGTAGTCCATGGTCTCTTGTTGGTGCTGGAGAGCGCAATGTATCGTGCGGACTTCACTTTGTATTTGTTCGAGTCTCTTCATTTGGTCTGAAAATTATATTTTTCCTAACATTTTTTTTCGTTTCTTATTTTTCAATTTTTTTTGTTTTTTCTAAAGTTCAGTTATATGTACAGTTGCTACATATAATTGTGGCGCTTTTATCTGTTAGAGATTTTTGATGTAATGTTCCGTTTTTCTTCCCGTTCTGGCCTTTTGTTTACCAATCATGCGCAGAGCGTAGCATCCTAATCGTAAAGGAAGCAATGTGAGCGCAAAAACCACTTTCAGCACGGAACCGAGTATTTTCCAACCCAATGTCTGCAGACAAAGATACGTAGCTAGAAGAGCGCCCGCGACTGCTATGAGCGCTATGACGACGGTTTTGTACCAACTAAATCAAAGTTCTGCGATATGTGCGAAATCAGGCCATGCTATTTCATTATATATTGCGCTATTTCCTTTCAGTTTAGTTAGGGCAACGTGATGTAGCGGTCCTACGTATTTCAGAATGCCTGAAATCGTAAATGTTTGCGATTTTGTGCCGCATTTTATGGTGCAGTTCAGATTTTGTCTAGCGCTGCTGAAATGAAAGCGCAACGTTGAATGCGGTGACGAGGGGGCGCATGGTATCACGAATGCGTCTCCCTGGCTGTTGTAGTCTTCTATCTTTCTGTGGAGTCGGGACACGAATAACAGCAGTGCTTTATCGGCGACTGGTACAATGACAGACCAGGAATGGAGAAATGGAAGAATGAAGAATGAAGAATGAATATTACCGCAAAAGGAAGCTCTTATATAGTCCTCTAAGGATTGTTGTAAACAACACAAGAGATATATACAACAGGGGTTCATTTACTACCAGCCTAATATCACTCTACAACATCTCCCTCCTTAAGTTAATCACTGTATCGTTTCTTCGATGGGTCGATCTTGAGGCGGCGTGGTGGTTGACGGATCCTTTGCGAGCGGCGACGAACAGGAGGAGGAGACCTTCGACTGACGGATTCATCAGCGTCCCTGGGTTCGGCATTGGCCGCAGCAGTATCAGGATTTGGCAGCGCAATATCCGTGTGACTGGCGTCGGCGACAGGAGCATCAACGAACACGGCGGGAGTCGACTGTCTGGGGAGCTCAAAATCCAAAAGACTGAACTCTCCCAATAGCGTGCTGGTAGCATCGGGGACTATTCGAGGACGTAGCTGGTTGGCATGGCGTTTCCATATGAATCCTTCAACTTCTACGTTGTAGAGCGAGCGTCCAATCCTTGATTGTACAATTCCTGGGGTCCAAGTAGGCTTTGCTGGATTGCGGTAGTCGCGAGCGTAAACAGCATCATGGACATCGAAGTGTTTCTTCTTGGCTCCGTGTCTGCGGTTGTATTGAGCTTCCATCTTAGGATTCGTTCCGGGGAAGTAGCTTGGTTTAACAGTCTGAGCGTCAGTGACCAAACTTGTGAGCGGAGTATTAATCGTTCGTCCAAGAAACATCTCGGCCGGGGAACGATTATCTGGCGAAGACGGGCAGGGCGTACACCGATAGCAGAGTAATAGCTTCGACAAGGCTTCAGAAAGGTTTCCTTCTCCCTTTAGTTTCATAATTCCTCTCTTGAAAGTTCCAACGAAGCGTTCAGCAAGTCCATTCGATTGTGGGTGGAACGGTGGCGTCCTAATATGCTTGATACTGTACTTCCTGCAGAAATCTTCGAAATACTGGGAAGAGAATTGAGTGCCGTTGTCTGAAACAAGCGTTTCTGGGAATCCAAACATGCTGAAAAAGTTTAGTAGTTCCCGTGTGGTGGCTGATGATGTTGTCGACTTCATTTCCACGATTTCGGGCCAACGGGAGTAAGCGTCCACGATGATGAGATACATGTGACCATAAAGTGGTCCAGCGAAGTCGATATGCAGGCGTTCCATCGGGCGATTGGCAATCGGCCATGGCGTTAGTTCAGCTTTTATGGGATTCTTGGCAGCAACTTGGCAATTCTGGCAACATTCCACAGTCTTCTTAACGTCCTCTTCTACACTAGGCCAGTAGACATAGTTGCGAGCAAGCAGCTTCATCCGGGTTTGTCCATGGTGACCGTCGTGCAGCATGCGAAGAACCTTCCTCCTTAGCAGAACGGGAACGACGATCCTGGATCCGAAGAATATGCATCCGTTGTGAATAGACAGTTCCCTTTGCAAGCTTCTGTAATTGAACAACGGCGTTCCGGGAAGTGCATTTGGCCAACGTCCTGTTTGTAGGCAGTTGAACAGCTCCATCAACACTACATCTTTTTTCATGGCAGAACGTACATCTTCCACGGTAACTGGCAACTGGTCGAGTGTTTCCTCGTAAGTGGCGGAGACATCAGCTTCTATGGTAGCCATGATGACGTCTTCATCCGGCGCACTCCGGCAGGAAAGCAATTGGGAGAGAGCATCGGCCTGTCCAAACGATGTCGTAGAGCAGTACCTGATGTCGAAATCATAGGCCAGTAGCGTCAATGACCACCGTTGAAGACGATTAGCAGTATAGGCCGGTATTCCTTTCTTGCTCCCGAAGATGGTGAGTAGAGGGCGATGGTCCGTTAACAAGGTAAATCTTCTTCCATAAAGGTAGCGGTGAAATTTCTTGACGGCAAAAACTAGGGCCAATCCCTCTTTCTCAATCTGTGAGTAGTTCTTCTCTGCGGCAGTCAAGGCACGGCTTGCGTGAGAGACGACCTTCTCCGATCCATCCGGATAGCGGTGAGAAATCACGGCTCCGATTCCATAATTGCTTGCGTCAGCGGCAACAATGATCGGCTTCTTAGGGTCGTAGTGGCACAGTAGAAGATCCGAGGTCAGGACATCGCGAAGGCGGGCGAAGGCTTCCTGGCACTCCTTACTCCAGACAAACGGTGTGTCTTTCTTCTTCAAAGCGTCCAGTGGTCCGCGAAGTGAACGCATTCTTGGCACGAAAGACGAATAGAATGAAATCATCCCAAGATAAGATTCGAGCTGCTTTATATCTTGGGGTGGCGGCATATGGGCGATGGCAGAAATCCTTTCGGGATCGGGGCGTCTTCCTTCGGCATCGACAATGAATCCGAGAAATACTATACTGGACTTACCAAAATGGCACTTTTCACGGCGAACACGCATTCCATACTCTTGAAGACGTTGGAACAGCTTGAATACGTTCGCATCATGCTCTTCATGCGTCCTTCCTGTGACCACAACATCGTCCAGATAGGCAACGGCTCCATTTATGTCGGCAGTGATGTTGCTCATCAGCGATTGAAAGATTCCGGGAGCACTTTTCACACCAAACGGGAGGCGGTTGTAGCGGAAAAGCCCTCTTGACGTGTTAATGGTCAGCAACTCTTTGCTTTCGTCGTCCATTTCTACTTGCAGATAAGCGTCACGCAGGTCGATATTGGTGAAGACTGTTCCTCCATTTAGTTTGGTAAAAACGTCTTCAGCGGTTGGTAAGGGGTGTCGATTCAGCTCCAATGCGTCATTTAATCCGGTGGAATAGTCGGCACAGATGCGCACTGTTCCATTCTTCTTCTTGACAGGTACGATAGGAGCAGCCCACTGTGAGTAATCGACAGGTGACAATACTCCAATAGCGACAAGGCGGTCCAATTCTGCGTTGACGAGTGGTTCTACGGCAAACGGAACCTTTCGTTTGGGCACGAAGACGGGCGTGGCATCCTTTAGTACGAGGTGAGCTTTGAACTTGTTGACATGTCCTAACTCATCTTTGAAAACTTCTGGAAACTCAGCCATAAGGCGGTAGTCCAGCACCGAAGAGGCATCCACGACACAGCAAATAGCAGACAAAGCATCTCGGAAGGGCGGCAGCTGTTGAAGCACATCCATTCCTAGCAAACACAGGTCTTTTGTAATGTAAAATAATCCCTCACCATCAAATCCATTGCATGTGAACGGCATTTCATGAACTCCATACACTTCGATCAGCGATCCATTTGCAGCTCTCAATTCGGCAGGAGCGGCCTTCAGGGTTGGTGAGCCTAATTCCATCCACGTCCTGCGGTTGATTGTCGATACGTCAGCACCGGTGTCTAGTTGCATCTTCACGTTCAGGTTATTCAGCTTGATATTCACGTAGCGACGGTGGGAGTTCAGCACGTTCAACTTCACAACTTTCTTCATGGAACGGCGGACTGGTCTGTTCCTTGACGGGCAGTTGTTGGCCCAGTGTCATTTATTTCCACAGATATAGCACGCGTCATCACGGCGGAAACGTCCAGGCGGATCCTTGCTATCAGATGGGCGTCGGGTACGTTGCGGCTGGGGTCGGCGTTGCTTCTTCTTACGGACAGGAGCGACGGCTTGAGCTTGAGCGGGCGTAGGCGGTACAGATCCGATAAGGGCAGCATCCTTCTGCACAGACTGGTAGGCATTATAGTCGGCAATCAAGTCTTGCAGCTTGAATGTATCGTTTTCGGCATCCAGTTTGCTCAGTAATCTGGCTCTTATTGGCGAATCGCACGGTGATTGCAATCCCATAACGAAAAGTAGGCATTTTAACGGGTCACCTCTCATTTCGTCAGCTTTGGCGTCGACCAGCATCTTGTTGATTCGGGCAGCGTAGGACTCGATATCCTCTGCGGGGTCTTTAACGACATGCAAACAGTTCCATCGACGTCGAAATAGCGTTGTCTTCTCTCCAAACAATGATGTCAATATTCTTGTGAGTTCTTGAAATGACAGCTCTAATGGTAATTTCGGTGCCAGATGTCCTCTTAATTTGGCGTGTGTGGCGTTATCGAGTTTCGCGGATAAGAGTGAGCAGCGGTCTTTCTCTGGCATTGATGTAGGAACAATTTCTTCAAATCTTAGTAGCCAGTTTTCAAAGGTGCAGCCGCTCTCGGGATCATAGGTGAAATATGGTATTCGTGACGAGAGTGCAGAGAAATCGGCTAATGTCGGTGGGGTAGCAGGATGTTGCAGTCGTTGTAGTAGTTCCTGGTTGGTCTTCATGAGAGCAGTGTTCTGTTCCATTAGCTGTTGGAACATTTGCTCCAGTGATGCTGTCGATGTAGTCGTCATCT